AGAGAGAGAGAGAGAAAGAGATTTAAAGGAGAGAAAGAAAAGAAAAAGAGAAGAGAGAGATAAAAAAACAAAACAAATAAAGCAGAGAATGAGAGAGAGAAAGAGTAAGAACAAAAAGAGAGAGAGAGAGAGAGAGAGAGAGAGAGAGAGAGAGAGGAGGGGGGGAGGTGTGGAGAGGAAAAGAGAAAGAGAGACGTGGGAGGGGGGGGGTGTGGAGTGGGTAGAAATAGAGAGGACATTAATTTTGAAAAGCTTAAAAATAAATCGGCAGAGCAGACCTCTTCAGCCACGGAGTCGTCTGGAACCCAGACAGACAAAAATGTGTTCTGTGAGAGACTCTGTCTGGATGTCCGCTCTTCACGTCACCGTTCTGGGGTTTGATTGTAAAAGACAGTATATCCAGTTTTGGACGAAAATGAGTTTTTTTTCCGATTCCACTTGATAGTTTAAGATACGCAACACATTAAAACTTCTGACTTAGTCTGGTATTGATATCTTAGTACATTGAATAAGGTGGGGGGGGGGAGTTTTTGGAAGATATTATGTATACAGAGCAACTCGCTGTTGAAAGGCAAAGATGTAGTTTTTAGTTGGGTTGTTTGTTGTTGTTTTTTGTTGTAATCTTTTTGTTGCTGTTGTTGTTTTGTGTTTGTATGTTTTGTGTTTTGGTGGTAGTTGTTTTTTGTTTTGTTTTGTTGTTGTTTTTGTAGTTTGTTTGTTCTTTGTTTGTTTTTTTGTTTGTTTTTTGGGAGGTGGATCTCCTGAACATTTTACGAAACTGGATATACTGTCTTTTAACATAAAACTCCCAGCATTGTCCCCTTGTGCTACACTCGGGAGCTGTGATTGTAGGAACTGTTTATCCTGTGATAGAACTTTTGACTTTCAGAAGAAAAAAACAGCAACATTACCAAGATGCTCCATTAGAGAAAATCCTATTTGAGCAAAATGTGTTGTGAGAGCTGACGTTTTCTTCGCAATGTGCAAGAAAATGAACTTTCCGGTTTTCTTTTTCTCGTTCTTTGTAAAAACTGGATTTCAAGAAAGTGTTTACTGGAGCACCGTGATAAAAGGGACTGAGAGAGAGTTGGAGAGAGAAAGAGTTGGAGAGAGAGAGGTGGGGTTGAGGGCGAGAGAGATTTTGAGAGAAAGAGGACGAGAGAGATCGACAGAGAGAGAGAGGGGGGGGGGATGAGAAAGAGACAGAGAGTGGAGTGGTAGAGAAAGAGGAGTGGGAGACAGCTTCCGTTTTCACCGTTTTCGATCAGTGTGCAGGCTTTTGCGCGTTGAGCAGAACG